GGATCGTTTGTCCCAGTACTGGCTGCTCCAGGCCAAGCTGTCGCTTTTCTCCCTGGGTGCCGCTGCCCTCTCTCACACACACATGTTGCTTTTACTTCAAGGAAAAAGCAGGCACGCCCCGTGGACTCCCACACAAGGTCACACCTAACACCTGTCTGATTCACCCGTAGCTGCGGCCAAGGAACCTCCCCATGGGGACAGGGAATTAGCGGCCCGCAGATGTCTCTGTGTTTAACTTCTCTTAGAAGTTGAAGCTCTCTTGGAACTATTGCTGAGGTGAAATTGGTTCCTGTGAACTCAAACCAAGCACCAAGAAAGGAGGAACAAGAAGACGACGCATGGTGCAAGCACACGTGCGTCGGAAGCACAGGGCTGGCCGCGGCTTCCCCCAAGGGCGGCGACAGTCAGCGGTAGTGTCCTGCAAGTGCAAACACACCCAGAGAGAATTTCACATTTTCTGACCACAATGCAATGATGGGAACATCTAAGCGACCAGAGTCAATCCAGAAACAATGTCTGCCTGCCCCAAACCCCACCTTGCACCCCACGAAGACGCAATTATCTGGCAACTCTGAGAGCTGCTGTCATTGCACATGCAGTGAATTCCTGGTTTTCATGACAGAAGGTGCCGACGCATGTATACTACTCAGAGCTGCAAGAAGAATTCTTGCCTCGGGTCATGCATGTGTCATGGGCTTCCATGAGTCAAGCAAGATTCTACTTAATTGGCCAAAACATAAACAAGTGTGGTCAGGAGCCCCTGTCAGGTATATAAAGGCCCCAGCCCTGCAGGAGGACATCAGCCCTCACACCCAGCACCTCCCTCCCAGCCTCCACCTCTCACCAGCTCCACCATGTCCTGCTGCGGATCCTTCTCCTCCCTGAGCTGCGGGGGCGGCTGCCTGCAGCCCTGCTGCTGCCGCGACCCCTGCTGCTGCCGCCCTGTGTCCTGCCAGACCACCGTGTGCCGGCCCGTGAGCTGCGTGCCCCGCTGCACGCGCCCCATCTGCCAGCCCTGCCCCAGGCCCGTGTGCTGCGCCCCCTGCGGCCTGCAGGAGGGCTGCTGCCGCCCCATCACCTGCTGCCCGTCGTCGTGCACGGCCGTGGTGTGCAGGCCCTGCTGCTGGGCGTCCACCTGCTGCCAGCCCGTGACCGTGCAGGCACCGTGCTGCCGGCCCCCGTGCTGCCAGCCCGCGCCCTGCCGCGTGACCTGCAGGGGCCCCAGCCTGGACCCCTGCTGCTGCTGAGCCTTGCAGCAGGCAAGCATAGAGCTCCTGCACAATGGGGGTCCCCTCTCTCCACTGAAGAAGTCTCTGCCAGGCCTACCAGGACCCCACGTCCACGCCGGCTCATCTAGGACGCCCTGGGCTGGCTTCCTCTCTTCCTGTAGAAGTAACATTTTTCCTCCCATTTTGTGTCTAAGGTCTGACGGGGTGTGTAGTTTTTAATAAACTTCTCTTCTTTGCCCTCCCACACACCACTTGGGTTTTATTTACTCAGGGTAATTTTGTTTTCATTCAATTTCAATATAAAAACAAATTTCCATACAGTCTAAACAAGGTGCAGAGGCCAGGCATTCAATCCTCATCCCATGCCCGCCCACCTCCGGGGCATACTGGGAGGGGGACTGAGACTGGGAATGGTGGCACACGCCTGCAACCCAGCGCTTGGGAGGCTGAAAAGCAGGAGGATCGCTACAAGCCTGATCTACGTAGTGAGACCCTGCAGATCCTGTACTAAATACATCAATTTTTTTTTAAGTGAGGCTGATGGCCTACTGTCTGTTAATCACAACCTGCCTGGTGTGCCAGAGACTTTCCAGCTAAGCCAAAAATGTTCCCCTCTTAAGAAACAAGCAAAGAGGGCTGGCAAGATAGCTCAGTGGACTAAGTACCTGCTTAGGCAAACACAGGGACCAAGGTTCGATCCCCAGCACCACAGCTGCGCTGGCCCCACCCTGGGCTCATTGAGCCAGCCACCAAGACAAGGCATGGTGACCTGCAATCCCAGCGCTGGGGTAGCTGAGGCAGGAGGATCACTACAAGTCCAAGCTGCGCAGGGAGACCCTGTACCAACTACAATAAAAAAGAAAAAGGAAAAGAAAACCTCTGAGGGGATGAGTCAAGGCCAACCTGTGGAAGGACAAGAGCTGGAGGGAGGGGAGGGATTAAAGTTTCAAAAGAGAGAACTGAGGGGGAAACAGGGCTTGAGCTTTTTCAAGCAGGAAGGGGCTCGGGAGTGAGAGGGAGCGCGCAGGGTGGGAGGAGGAGAAGCCAAAGAGCCTTGAGGCGTTAGGCACACAGCAGGCTCCTCGCCACAACTGCTCATTATGCCCTGTGAGCGCATACTCAAATACGTTAAACACTTAAAAATAAAATGGATATAAAATTTAAGACGCAGCATGCCCACGGAGAAGTCACTGTTGATGGGGAAAATAACAATGAATGAGAACTAGCCTTGTGCGTGAGTTAGGACTTTGGTGTCCGGGTCAGAAGGACATGGGCATTCCCAGCAAGGGGAGAGGTTCGGAGGAGACGCCACCGCAGCTGCCAGGGCGCTCTCGATGGGGACTTTGGGTGTGTCCTAAGTAGGGGCAGAAAATAAATTAGAGAGTGTGTATGCTTCGATTATTGGCCAAGGGAGCAGGCCAGTAAGCACAAAGAGCCGTGGGGAGCTGGGGCCAGGAAGCGGCAGGAGAAGAGCTGATGCTGGGGTGATGCTCAGGGAAACGCCGCCTAAAAACAGAAGACCCAAGTCTACAAAAGCCACAGCTACGCATAAACTAACCAGGAGGCTGTTGTCCCCGTCCAAGCTGCGTACAGGGACTGGGCTGAGGGGAAGGCCAGAGGACAAGGAACCATACTGATTTGGGCAGACATTCACACCCAGATGGTATTAACTGAGTTGAAGGATGAAATGATGGGCTGGCCGGATAGCTCAGCGGACTAAAGCACCTGTTTAGGCAGAGCGCAGCCACCAGGGTTTGATCCCCCCATCTCTGCCCAGTGCCCTGCCGGCTGTGCCCCTGGGACACGCTGAGACAGCGACTGAGACTGGGCGTGGTGGCGTGCACCTGTAATCCCAGCTCTTAGAAGGCTGAAAACAGGAGAATCACTATGAGTCGGATTTACGCAATGCCACCCTGTAGACCCTGTACTAATTACAAAAAAAAAAAAAAGAAATGAGAAGCTGGAAACAAACGTGACTTATTGTGGAATGTGACTTATTGTGGTTCTTGGAAAACTCTTTGGTGCTTAGAACAAAAGAATTTTAGCATATTTACATCTAGTTACTGTGTTTAAAAGTCACCACTCATAATGTGCCTTGCCTACCACTTCACTGTCATTACACTGTTTTCAAACTCAAAGGAGAAAGACGGTTTTACTAAGAGTCAGTGAATCTGGAAAGCAGCGTGGTGTAGAATGAAAGGGCTGGTCTAAAGAGGATTGTATCCCCAGCAGTTCTGGCTGCTCACTGTGTGAGTGCAGAAAATCATGTAACTTCTCCCAAATGCGCGCCTTCCTGGCCCCGTAGGATTCCAGCACCTACTAATCCCGAGGACAGTTAACAGCCGTGCCTGTCATGCACCAGTGTTCCGACTGTGAACTTCGAGGGTGGAGGCTCAAAGGGTTCCGAGCCTTGATTCCTACCCTTGACTGATCCCCTCTTGGCACCACCTGAGGCGTGCACTGGAGCAAGACAAAGGAGAAAGCAAGGTCCTGCTTCCTATGTCACGCTTCAGTGCTCCACGCACAGAGGAATTAAATAAACACAGGCTCCAGGGCTGAGGCCAATTTCTACACCTCCAATATGAATAATTACTCAGTGACTACACATAATCATATTCTAGAATAAGACTTTGCTGCATAAACCATTACCTCCACCTCATAAAAGGATGATTCTATGCTTCTCTTTGAGAGAAGATCAACATTTTGTTTTCTGAACACTATTTTTTTTTTCATTTCCCCTCAAGTGACCCTAAATATTCAGTGAGGAAAAAAAAAATCACATCTTTTCATTTGGCAACTACCAGAAATTGTTTTGACTTTTCTTTGGCTGGAATTTATCTTGATCTTTCCACCAACTGAATCCTATTTGATCACCTACTTCTTAACGTGATTTACAAACACTTTGATGCAGAAAAAGGATTTCCTAATTCCTTTTTCATTGAGCAAGTATGTAAGAGGATATACACTACAGCGACATCCGACACCATGTCCACAAAGTAAGTCCCCACCTTTGAGAAATATTGGCAAATGATCCATCTAGCAGAGAAGCGTAAACTTCACTGCTAATATTGTGTGGCTTTTCCCGTGGCTGCTTATGAATTTTCACAGCTTTTCAAAATTAAACTGGAATGAAACAAATTTTGTCCCATTTGTGTCCCGAGTGATAAACATTTCCTGAAGTGTGGGTGTCTGAGGTTCAGGAGAGATCGGAGAGACCGTGATGTGCGTGCAGAGGTCTGGGAATTTCCAGGAATATGGAGGCTATCTGAGTCTACCTGGTTGATGGCAGAGACGATAGCTTGTCAACCTGAAACTAGAAACAGGCTTGCGTGGAGGGTCATCCATGACCTGCGATTCTTTTCCAGAGAGTTGAGCCTTGACAAATAGGACCCCCCAGTTCACACCTTCTTCATGGTGACAGTCACCGGTCAGGTGCTCCAAGCTCAAACACAGAAGACTCACTCTGAGGCCTGAGTGGAAATTACAGCATAGTTTGGGCATGAGGCATGGACGTTTCTACCAAGAATGCATATATTTCATGAAGATTAGCTGAGTCACAAGGACAAACTAATTTGGAGATTTATTTAGAGTAACTCAGCATTTGGGCAGAGGACCCTAGAGAAGCTACTTGGAGGACTAATAAGACAAAAATGCCCCTGTCACAGACCCACCCCGGCCGTGGCGTATAAAAGGCTCGAGGAGAGCTGAACAGCCACCATCCAGGAACTCCTCGTAACAACACACCCCTCATTCACACCAGCTCCTCCCACCATGGCCTGCTGCGCTACCAGCTTCTGCGGGATTCCCAGCTGCTCCACCAGCGGGAACTG